AAACTTGCCTAAAGCGCAAACCCTGAGTTCCCTGAAAGCCCCATTTAGGATACTATACTATACCCACCAAAACCCAAAGCCCTAACCCTAAAACCCAAAACCCGTAAACTCCTAACCCCTATACCCCTAAACCCTAGAACCCCTAAACCCTTTCAACCCTAAACCCCAAAACCCTAACAGCCCAAAACCCTACGTAAACCCCAGCTTCCCAGGCCTCGACCGGCCAGCAGCTCGTGTTGAAGCAGTAGAAGCGATACGCCTTGGTTGGGGGTTTGGGGTTTCAGGGAATGTAGGTTCAGGGCTTGGGGTTTAGAGCTTATAGGGTTTGCAGGGTTTGGGGGGCTTTAGGGTTAAGGGCTCAGGCAATGTAGGTGCTTAGGGTTTAGGCCTTATAGGGTTTAGGGCTCTTGGAATGTAGGGCTTGGGGTGTAGGCACTCAACCCCTAACAGCAATGAACCCTAAAGCCGCGAACCGGCCTCGACCAGCCGGGGGAAGCCTTCCAACTGCATGTCCCCGCGCTCCTCGTACATCAAAGCCTTAGCAGAACGGTCTTGTCAGGGGGGGCCTAGGATTTCGGGTAAAGGATGGAGAGGTTAGGGCAAAGGGCATGTGTGTAAGACTTGGGGTGTATAGGAGTTTAGCACTAGGAGGTTACCTGTGGCTACAATAGCTTACTCCAGCATTCAGGGGTAACATCTTTTTTAGTGCGTAAGGTTAGAGGCAAGGGTATGTCAGATTCGCGGGCTGGTCATTGTGATAGGTACTGTCTCAGCGGAGCTCAAACGTTATCAAGGGAGGAGTACATGGTGTAGTGAAGTTTAGGGCATGGGGACTGCGCAGGTGGCGCTAGGCAGGGGCACACTGGTCGTCGTTCATCGCAATTACAAGCATACCCGAAGACACAAAAGTCACGGAAAAGAAATGCACGCATACTGGATCTTTAAGGGGGCCAAGATATATGCTATCCTTGTTTGTTCCTGAGCAATATAATATACGCTAAACCTCAGGAAGAACCGCCTGAAGAGTCCTAAAGCCGAGCCCAAAGCCCAAACACCTATACGCTTAAACAAATCGTTATCGCAAATCATAATACTAGAAATCCAGCTACCTACTACTCCACTACCGGCACAATGGCACAGCAATCTGCCAAACAAGTAACGCGGGCTTCCTAGGAAAGGTAGCGCCCTAAACCTCAAACCGCAACCCCTCTATACCTCAATTAAGCCCTAAACCCAAAACCATGAAAGCCTGACATCAAACTTTCTAGGCTCGCCGCTCCTTTCTTCTCTGGGATATCGGAGAATGTGGCATAGCCCTCGAGGACGCCACGGCTGCCTCGAGCGGGCATTCAGCATGAGGGTTTATAGGGTTTGGGGATTGGGGGTTCGGGGTCCTAGAGGGTGCAATGCTGCTTGTTCGAGCTCCGTGAGGGCTTGAGGGTCAAAGTAGGGATATGATTTGGTACCACACACCAAGCCCCAAACCCTGCCCCTAAACCCTGAACTTTGGAAGGAGAATCAATGCGTTTCAATCTCGCATACTATTCCCCGCCAGACCCCTTCAAGCCCAAAACCCATGCCATATCACGCTACACAAAATACCATTGTATACTATAATGTGCTATGATATACTACTGTATACTATCCTGCACTGCAAGCCTCCCTTCCGATAGTCGAAGGTCTTGGACACGGCCCAGCGGCCAAGCAGAAAACCTTGGAACTGGACGTAAGAGGACTTCATAATTTATACATGGCCTCTCACTTATAATTAGGTGGGGGACTTGAGGCTATGATTCAGGGCTTTAGGCCTTCATTTTTTGGAGTGTGGGTGGGGATGGGCATGAAGTTACGGTTCGAGGTTGCCTTCGGGCGCATGCTTCAAACGTTTGTGGCTGCAGCTCAGCAGAGGCTCTAAGGTTGGGGGTTTGCACTCACTCTCTTTGGCTTCGAGATGGCTCACGCGTGCCACGATGAGTATCTGGAACTTAGATCGTGCTTGTCAGGCAGGCGTTTTCCTCTTCTGGTGGTTCATGTCGAGTACAAGCCGGTGCATGCCCACGAAATGAAACCCTCCGCGTGCCACATGCTTCCCAAACCTAGCTGCAGCTGATGCTCTAAAGAGAATGTGCTGCACAGTTCTATGATCATCAAAAAGCTCTTTTGTGACGGTCCCGTCCGCTTAGGCCTGGCTCATGGTTGCTTCAGCGTTGGAGATAGCCCGATACGCGAGAAACTGCAGAAACCGTTCGCTGGAATCATGACCCCTGCAAGCAAACTCTCAAAAAGAAACCGAACTGCTTTTGTTCATGCCGCCAGCTAGCTGCGCACCGCCTCGCCGTGTACCAGACGTGGGAGCGGCGAAAACACCATGGGCTCAAGATCATTTGGGCATGGGATTAGGGGTGAGATTCGTTGTTTGAGCTCCGGGCTTTGGAGTGCAGCGATATTTTATAATCGAGAACTCGAGGAACAATTTTGGTAGCGGCTGGGTTGTCACGGCTTGGTTGTGTCCGTCGGGCTCGGGGCCATGGCTGCGCTTAAAGAACGGGAAGGTTTCGGGTTTAGGGCTTGGAGTTAGAGTTGCGGGGTTGCTCTGAGTACCTGTGGTGAGTTCTACCATTTGTCTATCTATCTAATTACGTATCTATCTACCTACCTGCCTACCTATTTGTTTATCTACCTATCTGTCCATCTGTCTACGTCACGTCTATGTATCAACCTATCTAGCTACTTACCTAGCTATGCATCTATCTGTCTGCTGGTATATCCAAGTGTGCGAATCTCTTTCTAGACATATATACAAGGCAACTGCAGGCATCCACAGAGCGAGATATCTACATACATGCATACATGTAGTTAGGGGAAGAGAGAGAGAGAGAGAGAGAGAGAGAGAGAGAGAGAGAGAGAGAGAGAGAGAAAGAGAAAGATAAAGAGAAAGAGAAAGAGAAAGAGAAAGAGAAAGAGAAAGAGAGAGGGAAAAAGACACATATAAACAAATGTGTATACCTATATATGTAATGCTATATATATATATATATATATATGAAGGTACACAAAGGTACCTATGATTGCATGCATGCATGTAAGCATTTGTTTCCTCAGAAACATGTATGCAGGCATGTATGAACATGTATGCACGCATGACCATCTTAAAGACATCAGTGACTGCAAAAACCAACTACCATGTCGTACGATATTGACACGCTGTTACGTCTGTCACATGTACCATACACTGTTTAGTCTCCTGGCTCCTTGTTTGTCTTGCAGAATGCTCCCGTCTTCGAATGTGTTGCACCGTATACCCCGTTCATCGCAAGCCATACTCGTGATATGTTCGAAGGATCCTGAATGTGACCGGAAGCTTAGCTTGCATAAAGCTTGAAGCACGCAACCTGGCCCGATTGCGAGTCAAGCTGGCCTCTTGCCCATCACCGTTGGGAAGATCTGCCGCATCTTCCTGGCCAGATGTTTGAAGGCTTTCCACTGAACACGGTTCGACCAACTGCCAAGCGCTCCGGATTCTCTAAACAAAGGAGTTCTTCGTATCAGGTACATGAAGCTTTCGGGTCCCTTTCAGTGATACTTCTAAGTGCTCGAAACCGCGACATCGTGAGGCGCTTTTCGATCATCTGAGCCTCGGATAGGTATACTTCAATGAAATCCTGATATAACACTTGGAGCGTTAGTCGACGAAACGCTCTCTACAACATCCAGGTCCTTTTCTTCGAACAGGGGTGGCGCGTGGTGCTTGCTGGCTCTTGTGCTGAGGATCCTGACCCTTTTCACCCCCAGCAAAGTGGACCCTGGTGCAAAGCACCTCGAAAAGAAGATCAAGCAAAGCTGCAGGTATCAAAGGGAGGTCCGAGGGCGCTGAATGCAACCTGCACCTTAAAAGCGAAAGGACGCGTAAAAGTGCTATATTTCAGTTAGCACAGAAGGACTCATAGTATAATAACGGTACAGGGCCCCTGCATACAAGGATCATGTGGTCCATAATGCAGATGTTGAGCTTCTCAACGCCTAGGCTACACAGGCCGCCGTATATGCAGAGCTGTAAACCAAAGCAGCCTCCAAACACGCATAGCTTACTCAAACTGGAAACCTGACCACTCACCACCGGAGATGAGACAAAGTGGAGCCCATAAAACAGTCGTTTCAACCAAGGCCAAAAGACCTTCTAGAACATTGATCTCTTTATTTGTGGCTATGCTTATTTGATTGTTTCTATAATCATGCTTATGGGTGCTAGCTATACTGTTACTATTGTTGTTCTTTCTAGTACTATATACGACTAAACCTGTTTGTACACATTGATATCAGTAATACCAATAACTGAAGTTATTGTTGTTGTCATGGTCGTGACTGTTGCCATTAGTATAATGCTTATTCTTATGGCTATTCATGTCCTTGTTTTACTTCGTCTTTTCTCATTGTTAAAACCGATGTAGAACAGGACCCAGCCTCCCCCTCCATGACAATCAGGGGTGCAGGCCGCGCAGCAGTTGAAGTGTGAAGTGTGAAGGAAGGTTTCTTGAGGTTTCAGGTGTAAGGTGCAGAGAAGTATGGGCACTAAAGATCAAGCGTTTTAGGAGGGGAGGAGTCTGGGATCGTATGTTCAGGTACAGGGCTGAGGCGGGGCAGGGTTGAGGCTAAGGAGAACGGGTGTTCGGGTTGCATTTGCAACAGCCTTAGAGTTCGAGCCTTCAAGAACTTCACGTGTCTCTTTGCTGGGAGAGGCAGGGTTCATTGCTGCATTGAGAGGCTTGGGTTGTCTAACGTTCACGCAGCATGAGACGAGCCACTGAAGCAAAGCAGGGTCGGTCCTGAACCCAAAATCGTGATACCGCGCTGGAGAAATGTTCAGTTTGTCCTTGCACTGCCGATCTAGCACCAGCTTCTGGCGAAGGCCAGGGACCTAGACACTTTGATTGAAGAATGTCATGCCACGGTGAACACCCTGCAACTGTAGCAGAAAAAGCTGCGCACATTTCCCGGAGGCATCACATCATTGTCTGAAAGATCGCCGTGGCAAACGGCAACCGTTTACCTGCAGCTGCGCGTCTGCACGGGAGGAGGCAGGGCGCTCTGAGGGCGGGTAGTGTTTTGAGCTGCAGCAATGGGAAGCCGAGAGCGGAGGCCTTGGGGACTACGACGGGTCATAGTAGTGGGTATGACATATTTATGTATGTATGTATATACACATAGATATAAATAAAAATGTATATGTATATATACACACACATAACTGAAATTACAATAAGCCCGAATTGCAAATCATATTGGCAGCCATGGTACCTTCCAGCGGAACAGACCGCATTTACAGCTGGTCGAGGCATAGGTCCGTTCGAGGAGATGCAAACAAACCAAAAATGACTGCTGGTTCCGAAAAGACTTTTATAAGGGTACTACCATGGGGGTTTTAGGGTGTTGAGGGTTTGGGGTTCTATCGTCCTGCTTGTTCCTCCCTCAAGGACTGTGATGATACGGTTTAGGGATTATAGGGTTTAGAGGTGTCGGGTGTAGGGTTTATGTTACAGTATATTTCTAGTATGGTCTTGTTCAGCAGCTACACCAATCATTGCCAATCACTGACTACGACGTCTCCGGATCCCAAAATCCTAAACCGGCTGACAATGGGAATACGCCCAATCGCGCGCACTCGCATGCATGGCGCTAGCAAAAAACGGCTGATAACAGGCAAGCAGCCGTCCCCGTCTGCAGAAACGCCCGCCACCGTGACACCAACGGCTCCTGTCATGACGTCTGTCAGCGGAGCATAAGACATGGTTCTGCGAGGTTGTATGCTGAAATGAAAAGAAGGAGCACCATGGAATCGTATCGCTGATCACAAAGGCTTCTACATAAAATCTAAAGGAACTCTATGCCGAAACTGGGATCCCTCGGGCAAGGGGCCGGATGAAGACCTGACTTAGTGGAAAGAACGAGCCGGCTTAGAACAGAGTTCTGTCCCGGGTCTTTTCAACTTCGTATTTGGGCCTTGATATGGAAGGGTTTCTCTTTCAACTATAGCATTTGATGTGGAAGGGCTTTGGGGGTGTATCTCGTGCAAAAACGCATAAGGACCACAAGGACTAAACTACGGGGCCCGAAACCTAAATGCAAAGCCCTCTCAACAAACAGCACCACCATGAAAACCCAAAACAACAAGGCCCTAAGCCCTAAACCCAAGGCAGAATTCCCCCAAAGCTCAAAAAACCTGAATTCGAGCCTTAACACACCCAAGCCTAACACCTCGACCCGTAACGTAATCCCCATCATCCAGCCCCAATACCCGTCATCCTGCGACTCAGTTCCTGCAAGTAGGGTTTCTGCCCGGAAGTATCACTGCAAGTAGGGTTTCATGGTCGAGGGCATGGGAAGATTTAGAAGGATTAGAAGTAGCAGCAGTAGTAGAAAGTAGCAGCATCAATAGCTCCAGCAGTCTGGTGTGGGCTTGTCTTCGGGGGTGGTTCCTCTACCCTAAACCTCAAACCCCGGTCACACCCCAAACACATCAAAGGGCAGCCTTCGCCTACGACCAGCAGCAAGTCTGCTGCAGGCACGAACGCCCACCTGAAGAACTTTGGGTCTCGGGATCCGCTAAGGTTGCCCCATGGGGTTTCTTTCTAGCTTGGGCTTGTGAGACTTTGGTGTCTTTGGGCTTAGGCTGTAGCAAGCTGGGGCTATAGCATAAGGTTTCGAGTTGAGGGTGCAGGGCTCCACGGTTTTCGGATTGAGGGTGTAGACTGACCCGGCAGGGCCTGCGGTTCACTGCACAAGTTTCGGACTTCAGTTTAAGCCTTAGTGGTGGGGAATTAAAGCAAAAGTGCTAAGAACACGTGAAACCCAATAGTAATCCTAGGCCTTACGCCGCCAAAAAGAAGTGTCCCAAGCGCTTGAGCAATGCTTACATTTTACATCCAATCATGCCGCTCTTTGCGTGAATGCCAACTATTCTTCCCAGGCCCATCAGCACATGCTTGAACCCTAGCCGCCTTAGCCAAAACGCAGCACCCAAAACCCTCTGCCCCTGTGAGTCGCAAAGCCAGAATAACTACCCGAATGCTTCCCACATCCACGACCATGAAGCCGAAGCCACCTCATTGACTCTCTGGCTGAGTTCCATAATTAGTCAGAAAAGAAAAGGTTCTGTCTTCATTGCTACACCGCTGTGGCCATAGAAATCCAAAACCACAGAACAACTATGCTTTAACCTCCATACGTCCAAGCTTAACGGCTCAGCTGCTTTGACATCAGCAACAACCCCAAACTCCTCCGAGGCACTCTGCCGGGGCGGCCCCGCGCTGAGCCGCGACCTCAGTTGGTTCAAAATCCCAATATGGCGCTCGGGTGGGCTTCCTTGCCTACTAGACCTGCATGCATGCATATGACTGCATGTATGGTTGTATGTATGTATGTCTGTATGCATGCATGCATGAAAGCATGTACCGATGCGTGTATGTGTGAGATTATGTGAATGTATAAGCATACATTCATACGCATCCATGCATCCATCCATGCGTTCGTCCATCCATTCCTCCCTCCATCTGTCGCCGCACTGGCAGCAGCAATCTGAAAAAGCACCGTCGTTTTTTAAACTGTCTATAGCATGCAAGCGTGCACGAACTAATAAGGGTTGACCGGAGTGTTCACAAGATGTTTCGGCGAAATTGAGGCTTTTCGCTTAATCTTTGAAAACCCTAACCCCTAAATCCCAAACCCTCCCCCCGTAGCGGCCCTATAGATCCCTCAGGGAAACTCAAAGGAACACCCCAAGGCCCCTGGCGTCCGCTGCGCCGCGACTCTCTGTCCGGAACAGGCCGAAGCAACGCCTACTTTCAAAGGAGTCCGCAGGACTGGTTTTCACACGCATACATACATATAGACATATAGACACCTGTGTGTATCTGCACATGTACCTGCAACTGTATACATAATATAAACATGTATACACGTATGCAAACATTTATTTATATATTTATATATATATATATATACTCATGATCTATAAGTGAAAATAAAGCACATATACTTCATATATGCATAAACGAACATGAACCTGTGCATAGTGAACTCGCTGGCGTATTCAAGTATCCGCTTGTCTACGCACCTAGAAGTTTAAAGGATAAGATCAGATCAGACCAGTCCAGATAGAATAAGACCAGATAAGACAAGATAATGTTTGTAAGGTGCACCTCATTGCCGGATCGTGGGATAGTAAGTAGGATCTAGAAAAGAAAGCATCATGAAGAGTTACCAAAATCCCAACCCGAGGCTGGATCCTGAACCTCAACTGAAAGCAAGAACGAGGTCGTCGGTCCTTGCAGTTTCGGCCTCTGCTCCGTCTCCTTTCCTGAGCGCTTGGGAGATTTTTGCACGGCTTGTGTATTCTGGGCTTGGGCGAACCCTGAACCCTGAAACCTTCAACCCCACATCCTGAACCCTTAAACCTCAGAGCCTTTTAAACCTTAATCCTGCCCCCAAACCTAAGAGACCTCTATATTCACGCACGCCTTCCCTTGGCCATTCTCGAAATCAGGTACAGTTCAATTTTAAAGCTAAGACTAGCCCGTAGTTCTGAGACCTTTGTATCAAGGCCCGCTTCCTCAACACCCTGATCGGGTTCCGGGCTAAAGTGTCTGCAGGCAGAGGCAGAATGGGATGACTACCGGACTCTCGTTAATTCCTTACATCGGCAAGGCTCCACCCCTAACTTTCGTAAGTTTAGACTTCCCGAGTTAGATAATAGGGTTGTGCTTTCTGCCCCAACCATGAGCCAAAAACCCCGAACCCAACCGCCCCACGCCCTCAAGGCCTCACACCTGATTCCCAAACCCTCGACCCTTGTGTCAACCCCTCCACAGGAACCCGTGTAGCATCCTGAGATAACCCTTTGAAAGAACCCTAAGCCCTAAACCTTAACCCTAAACCCTTTAAAGGAACCCTAAACCCTAAACCTGAAAAACCCTAAACCCTTTAAAGGAACCCGCGACCCTGAAGCAAATTGCAGCCAGAAGGAGCTCAAGTGGGTCGGCAAAATCGCGCCACAAAGCAGCGCACAGCTTCCTGGGAGCTGCTTGCAGCCTTTAAGGTCTTGGAAATTAGGGCTGAGGGTATGGGGTTTAGAATTTAGGGTTTTAGGGTTTAGGGTCTAGGAGATCAGTGCTGAGGGCTCCGTAGCTTGCTTGGAGATTTGGTGGGGCTCTGGACATTAGGGCATCAGATTTCAAGATATCGTTCAGTATTTAAGCGTAAGATTTATGGATCTCCGAAATCTCCAAAGCTCGCACCAAAGGGCTTATAGGGTTTATATAGGGCATGGGTAAACAGCTTTGGGAGAAAAATCCATGAAGCGACCATGGCCAAACACCGGTGGACCAGCTGAGCATCAAAAGCATGCAAGCAAGAACACACAGAGCACACTGGCAGAGAATCAAAACATGCAAACGATTAGGAAAGACAAGAACACCACAATGGTTGCAGTTAAACAAAGTGAAGAGACCCTAACACTTATCATACCAGCAGAACCACTACAAAATCCTACAGCCCTGAACCCTAAAACTAAACCCTAAACCCCAAACAACAATCTTTTACGGCACCCTAGCGGCCGCAGCTCGGCGTCGGACCAGGGGGCGGCCTGGAAATCTGCAACAAAGGAGGGGACCAACGATGAGAGCTCCAGAGGCTAACATAGGGCCCCCCATTCACAATTAGAATAGGGCTTTTGGGGGGCCCATTCTACTATAATTAGAAGAAGGAACCACCAAAATAGTATAGGTGATTATTGACGCCCCTATATTACGATGGGAGTTCCAGAGGCTAGCTGAGTCTCGCCGGGGGTTTTGGCTCCTTGAAAAAGCAAATTTTAACCCTGATCTGAACATTAAGGCTGTCATGTCAGACAGGGCTGTATACAGCAGGTGCCTTGTGCACAAGAGAGAGAGAGCTGAAGGTTTCAGAGTTTAGATTTTAGAAGCTTGCTATGGGTCTTTACACGAGGTTTCAAGGTTTCTCTGGAGTGTTGCAAAGGTTTTTGAGAAGCTTGTCCGGGCTTTACAATACTTTCTTCAAACGGTTGCCATGCGGTTGCGAACGGCTGCTATCGTGTTCTAAACCACATTACCAGGGTTCTCACTGGGCTTTATGATGGGAGCATGCAACGTTGCGATCGAAGTTTATAAGGTTGTTATAAGGCTTCATGAGGTTGCGACAAGGGTTTCAGGGGCACTAATATCTGGAATACGGTCTCGGTTCTAGTATCACCTGAATTGGGCTGAAAAATACGTAATTTAGTTTCTCGTACCGTACTCATAACCCTACCTGACTTACTAGTAGTATATCAGCAGCAGCAGCAGCAGCAGCAGCAGCAGCAGCAGCAGGGGGAGCACATGATTTTGTAGTCGCCATCGTTGTCACCGTTGTCGTGCTTGTCGTCGGCTTCGGCATCGTCGCCGTCGCAATCATCACGAGCGTCATCTCGACAACCACATGAATGCAAGCAGAAAGGGGAACCGTAGAACTACAAATAACAAAACACAATGCAGATCGCATTGGTGTTGGTGGCAACAATGACCTCCATAGCCCTCACTGCGTGAGACCTCGCCTCTGCATCACCGTTCGGCAGGACAGCGCGGATGATCTTGCGCCAGCCTGCAGTTAGCATGGGTTTTGCTTTAGGCTTTCACGACTTCTGGCTAAGGGGCCAGACTCGGAGAAGACCGGAAATGCGGACCTCCTAGTTGTTTCGGACATGTCTGCAGCTCTCCGAGAGAACCGCTCAGTTATGCCAATGTCGGCGCGAAGGTGCTATCGGCTGTTTGCCACTTCACTGTGAGCCGGTTCATGCCGGGATGTGCACAGACCCATTTTCTTTAATGAATCTGGGTGATGACGGATGTAGGATACTAGGGACATGAGGCAAAATCGCTGAGGGGTTGAGCAGTCACGGTTCACGGTTTGACCCAGAAGTTCCATATCTTGAGCCTTTAGAAGATGGGGATTGCAGAAGCTCTATATACCTTATTGAAACAAACCATGCGCTTTAGCCGAAGATGGAATCGTTGATGTCGATTGGGTTTACGGTTGTAGCGCAGATGTTAAGAAGGACTCTAACTGCTGGCGTCGATGTCGGCGCACAAGACTTGCAACAGTTGCGATTTAGCCGAGACTGTTCTTGCATCGGAAAAACATTTGTTGGACCCTTCTGCCTTTTCGCAGCCTATATACTAACTTCCAAAAGCCCTGGATGGCAACTCTATATCCTAGATCCTGCGAGTCGATTTTGCCCGGCACCCACGTACTGCAGTCAGTAGCGACTTAAACACTCACAAGTATATATGCTTGTGTATATACATATATATATATACATGTATGTAATATGTACTATGTAAGTATAAGCCCGAACTGGTTACGCAAGGGGCAAGTCCCCGAAATGTCTGTGGCAATGAAGCTCTGATGCTGCAGCTGGGTCGATTTTCAAGCAACGGCCGTGGGGATCCTACACCTTTCGTGCCAACATTCTATTTTCATAAGTATGAGTATAGAAACATAGGTATTATTAGTGGCACTAGTATTCGCATTCTTTTTGGTGCTACTGTCACTACTATGCTCGCTGAAACTTTGAACATGTATATGGCCCATATGGCCTAGGACCTGGCAGCTGCCTCAATCGTAAACCCGAGTCGTAAGGCAGCTAAGCCACGCTTGGACCAGGTCGACCAATCCTTCCGAATGCGATTAGGTGTTTGGGCTTTAAACCTTGGGGAACAAACCCCAAAACCCTTAACCCCGAGACCCCCAACCTGCTTTGGGTGGCAAGGCTCCGCAGCCCCGAAGATGGCAAGGGGCAGGGCCCCAAGAAGATTCGCACGCACTGCCGCAACACCCTTAGGGTCTAGCAACTTCACGCCTCCCTTTCATCATAACAAGCCTTGGATTTCAAAAAAATTTTGCGGGTTGTCCCTAGGACATATCTCAGAACTTCATTCCATGATGTACTCTTTTATTAGCGAGTTCGATCAACCTTCAAACACCAATGCTACCCATGCGCCCACCTCCACCTCTACAACTGGCGAACCACCCTTTTTCAGCAGGCATTTCTGCCCGTGAAGGCCGCTCAAAAAATGCGGGAGCTTGGAGGAAGCAAACTCCCTGACAGCTGCATGATGCTGGTTCCTAAACCCCTACGCCGAAAAGAAGCAACCTAAGAACGCACGCACCCCCAAACCCTAAATCCAAAACCACAGAACCATGCCACAGCCATCTCCGTCCTTCTCCTTGATGGCGCCAGAGGCATCGCCTCAAGCTCAGGTCGTTGCCGGCTTCGAGACTGTGGGGTCGGCGCTTTTCAAGACGGTTCAGGCCAACGCTTCAAAGCGCCTCTTGTCCCATCCATGGAGCCTAAGCTTTGGGTTTCATGCTGCAGTAAATGTATAAAGCTTAGTGTCCGAGCGTTTCGGCTTCGGGGATTGGGGATTATATCGGCAACCAACAACCGCTGGCACGACACCATGCACTCAATAGGTGGCATCCGATTCCTGATATATTAAAACCCACTCCGCCAAACTGGGGAAGCAACACCCTCACATCGAAACCCTAAACCCAAAAACCCTGAACCCACGTACGAAAACCGGAATCAACATGGTTTGTGAGGGTCTGGGCTTAACCAGAGCTCAGTTTAGGGTTCAGGGCTGAAGGTTTACTCCCCGGTTTAAGGTCTGGGGTTTCGGGCCCTGCAGCCTCAAACAGCAACTGCTTAAGATGAAGGGTCCAGAACAGCCCAATGCCTTTAAGGTGCTTTGATCAGGTTGCGAGAGGGAGAAATTTCAGCACGGAACATCCTGATCAACACCCAGGTTTAGGGCTCAGGGTTGAGGGATGGCTTGTGCAGGTAAGCGTCGCTTTGGCTGGCGCCCATGTACTTGGCATTTCTTCACGAGCATTTGCCTGCTCGCGCGAAAGCTCTTCTTCATGCCGTAACCCTCGACCTTCAATCCTAAACTCTAATATCCTGCACACTTCATTCCATAGGGGACCTACACACCTAACCTTAAAACCCCGAAGGCTGAAGGATAAACCCTGAAGAATTGGAAAATGGAAAACGGGGTTGCGTTTGTTTTTCCCGCAGAGTGTCCTTGCATGGCATGCACATGACATTGAGTCTCCACATGGCAGCTACTGCTAGAGAAGCAGCTCCTTGCAACTTGAAGGTCTGTAGCCGCAGCGGCATCAGCCATCTCTGGGGGGGGGGGGGGGGGAATTTTGACTATGCACCTCAATCGTCCTCTGCTGCTGCCTGACTGCAAGCACTTGAGGTTTTACTTCTGGGTTAGCCCTCTCTGCCCACTGAGACAAACAGCTAACAGCGTCCTCTTGCCGACTGAACCAGGGAAAGTACCAATATTTCACCCAGATTTAATACCCAGAAAAAGGCTGACCTCAACTGCTGCCATAGCTGGATCTCCGGGAACGACTCCCAAATCTGGCTTGCGGATCAAGGCTTCGGGCTTCTTTTGACAAGGCTTCGCACACACATATGTATAAATGTATATATATATATATATACATACATAATATGTATCCATATATATATATATATATACATATATATATATACACATGTATATATGTACATATACACGGCTTTGTCGGTTTGTGTGGGGCTGTCCAGGGAAAACTCGGGGTTCAGCAACCTAGGGGCCCTGCTTCAAGAATGGTGCTTAGTGGAAACAGCTTAGCCCTCCCCCTGAGGCAGGGAGCATATCATAGGACAACAGACCATCGAAAACGAGGTGACCAAGTTGTATACATACGTACACACATGCATACATGCAATGACATACCTAACACGTACATGCATGACCATGACGGTGATCATTAGTAGCTTGATGGCTGGGTTGAGGTCTGAGATGTGAACCACGCGTGCCTCCAACGCCCTGGTTGAGCAGCATACAATGCAAATCTTTGAGAGGGGATTCTTGCGCCAAGTGATCTGAAACTTGCGCTTCCCCGCCCGCTCTCAATAAGAATCCTAAACAGAAACGGTGAATGTAGACTCCTGATCTATATCCCACTTCGCTTTTTCAACTACATTTTAAAGATGATTGAAAGTAGGAGTCAAGCAGCCAAGTCCGACTCATGTCTCAAGACCATGGCCGACACAGAGTAATCCAAAGCTAAAGCGACACCTCGCGGGGCCCGCTCCTGCTGTGGCTTGGCTGCTAACAGCATGTCAGGCCTGACCAGGCCTGCAAAGCATCTGAAAGCCCTTCAAACCGACCATCCTACCAGGGTTCTGGAACCTCTTTGAAAGAGCCCCTACAGCAACTACAGTCAATACCGAACGTCTCCGAGAGCGTCTATACATCAAGTAATGCAAGAACTACGAGTTGGCAAGAACTCGGCAGCCCATAATTACTCTAGACTCTAGACTGATTTGCTAAATACTAAATACTAGAAACTACATTTCACGAAAGACGATAGAGCTCGCCTTTCCCCAAGCTTGGCGCACGCAGCCACCAGTCTTCTCAGCTTCGAAAAGCCTAGTCGAAGCTCTTTGTTGGCGGCGTGCTTAGAGTCATTGGGTCTATAGGGTTTTAAGGATAAATTAGGGGTTTAGGGGTTAGGGGTTGAGGGATTTAGGGCTTAGCAGGGTGTTTAGGGATCAGTGTGTAGCGGTGTTTAGATTGGTTTTTTTGGATGGCCTCTTTCGTCGCTTGCACTCCGCAGCCCGTGTTGGGCTTTAGGATTTCGGGTATTGGGCTAAGGGTCTTGGATTTTTAAGGCCTTTGGGCTTCGGAAACAGCATCAATGCCGCAAAGCAAAACCCTGATGGCTAAGCCCTCCTGGGATCATAGAAGACCTAGTCGGTGACACCGGCGAAGGCTACGAGCTGACAGTTTCGGCTCCGGCCGTGTCATGAAGTGTTTGTTTTTTTCATGAAGTGTTTTGGTTTCCGAGCTTTTCTCTCAGCCGAGGCGCGCGCACCGGGCGAGGAGCACCAGGAACTGGGCCCGGTACCGCTTGGGGGCGCAGTCGTAGGCGCTGCCTCGGATGATCAGAGGCTATGGCGTTTGTCTATCCGAATCTCCTGCCTGGCTCATGAATTAGGATCTGTCCGAACATGTATCTGTCTATCTGTTACAGATTTGTCCATCTTCGTCTGGAGGTACGTCTTCAACTCTAGGCTATGAATGTCTGGGAGGTGTTGTGGCCGGATTCCACGGCACCTCAAGCACGAGAGCTCGTAGGACAGCCAGCCCTCAAGCCTGAACGCCTACGCCCGAATCCGCTGAGCTCTGGGTTGAAGGGGGCCTGGAATCTGCTCTAAAGCTTCAAACTCAGACTCAAGGTCTGAGATACAGCATGCCAGAAACCTTACACTGACTCCCACATTGTTTGCGCCCACTCCGAGAAGCAACGTGGAAATGATGCCAACTACCCGGGAAACCGTAAATCGTCCTGGTTGCGTATGGACGGCTCGGCCAACATCTGAACAACGGGTGTTGGCTCAGGATTCAAGAGGTGTAAGGTTCGCAGGACTTTGTTAGGGTTCTCGAGGGGCCCACCTAGATGCAGAGTATATACTTAGACTCTAAGTGGGGTGCCTATAACGTAACATGAGGGGTCGCAGTTTATGCTCTACGGGTCAATGTTTACGTGCAGGGGGCGTAAAGGGTTTGCACGTTTTGGTACATATAGGATCTAGGAAATGTTGAGCTTCAATCCTGAATATAGCCCAGTCACACATATAGCGGGTTGCCGGACAATGGCTACGTGACGTATGCAGAATTAGGGGCCAAAGGCAAGAACCTAGCCTGTGTTTCACTGGTCTGCTAGGGATCTGGTTGAAACTCGAGACTATGATGACTGCATTCAATCAGAAGTACCGAGATCTGCTGAAGTTTCTTTAGCATTGAGGGCCGGCTTCGAGTACCAACCCTTTCAACCCGAAGGCCCAAACTCTAGGCCCTGTGATACAAAACTGAAATCTGACAGATCCGAAGATCTGAAACTCTTACCTCAACAGCTGCCAGGCCTCAATTCCAAGCACCGGACTCGCCAGCCAATTCCAACCACAATCGAAATTACAGAATCACACAAGCCGACGGCCCTAAACTCGGCAAGCTGCAAAAGGCACCCCAAATCTAAAACCCTGCGTAAACCCCAAACCCAACCAAAACCCTAAACCCCTAAACCCCAACAAAACCCATTAAGAGGCACCTGAAGCAGGTCGGCGCTGCTGCTGAGCCATGCCTCGAGCAGGGATTTAGGGTTTAGGGGATTGGGGGTTTAGGGTTCGAAGAGGGCTACGGCTTAGCGGCGAAGGGCTTAGGGCATAAGGCCTCAGGGATCAAAACCCCAGCACTACACCCAGAAAATCAATCCCTTCACTGGCAAGGACCAAAATCGGATCTTTGGATGCTGGGCACGGGGCCTTATTTCTGCGAAGGAAGACCGTTGCTAATGATTCAGGTCCCCAGATTCACTAGCACCCAAATCCGAAACCCCAGCGTTAGCGTCGGGTTGAGACTTACGACTTCCCGGTTTGCAGAAATACATGCATGCAAGCATGCCAGCAAACAGAAGCAGTAACACAGAAGCTTGAAAAGAGCGCACACATGTGTTCATGTACATGGTCCCTGGTCCACCATGTACAACCGAAGGAGGGTCCAAATCACATAGCTTGCTTGCGAAGCTCCGAATGCTAGCGGCAGTATTCGTGTGCACTACATACAAAACCCCTGGAAGTGGAGCTTCTGGGTCACGGCATTTTGCCTGAACCCCGATGCTCTCGAGGCCCTTGATTTACATGGGTGCGCAAAGACCCAATGCCTGCAAAACTCGAAAATGAGAAACCAACCTCTATACACATTGTCGGCTCAACAGGTAATGGGTTGCCTTACTACGAAAACGCAAGGGCACTAACACAGGGACAAGTAACGCCCTAAAAACGTAGCTGGATGCACCCTGAGAAGATCCATGTGGGAGTTTCCGAAAATACGGGACCCTCGTATAGTACCCTACATAGCAGGATCCTTACTATAAGGACCCCGGTATCCTGAATTTTCGGAAACTCTCCTGTAAACCCGAAAAGGAAGCGAGCCTCGACAAAGGGCTCGGCCCCTGCAGATGGCAGTGCCCATCCGCCGCCCTCGCCGGGCAGGAGCCCTGGGCCATGGTAAAGGGCTTTATATAGGGGCCTACATAATCACCAATACTACTTGGGTGATTCTGGTTTATACCTTCCGAATACAGTATAAAATACCCCCCCCCCCTCAAAACACAGTTATTCAGGCCGAGGATTAGGGTGTTGCAGAGTTCGGCTCTCTGTGCACTGGGGCTGAATTCCATCAGCCTTTAAGTAGGGATTCAGGCTCAGAACTTTCAGGGCTCCAATCGTTTCCCTGTCAGGCTGCTCAGCTTCGGAGGGGGGGTGCCTTGGTTCGGGTTCCTCGTGCTTTCGGAGACCAAGCCCAAAACACCACTCATCTCAAAACGATTGCCGTGCTGATTGCAGACCGCGGCACTAAGGGATGCCTGCGCGTGTTGTCGCGTTGCTGCAGGTACGACGCCTGCCGCTGGTAATGTGCCACGTTAGGACCCAGCTTTCAGTATTAAAAGCCGAGGTGAGGAGTTTCAAGAACCTGTTGTCTATGAAGCCAACAGAGGTTCAAAACAAAAAATGTGCTCGGGCGTATCTGTTTGGCGCGAAAACCCGTCCAGGCAAGATGAGGCTATAAACACAAAACACACCATCTGAGAAGTGTCCGCAAAATCATACAGCTTCCTTAGACTATGAGACCTCCTTGTAACATCGAGCATCGCGTTGAAGTGACTGACATAGAAAGAGCACTGCAGAAGACTCAACACCGACAGCCTCATAACAGCATGTGTACACGCAGAACTCAGACTGTTAAACAACGGAACACTTGAACATGCCTGAACTCTACCCTACATCCTATAGCTGTAAACTAGGATGCCAAAAACACAATACAGAATTCCTAAAGCCTGGTGTAGCACAGGATATTTATCTTGAGCTCACTGCATGTCTATCAAGTCAACGTCGCCGTCCGACTCTCGTGGCCCCGCTGCTCTCTCAGCGTACCTTCCGTGCTGAGCGCCAGCACGGATGCCACTAAGCGAGTGGCCTCCCATGCAGGGCAAGGAGAGAGGAATAATAAAGCTCTGCGACGAATTGTAGCGCTGCTTGCTTGCGCCACTGACTTGGCCGGATGGAGTTCTGTGGACTCTGACTTACGTAGACAGATGCTTCGACTGCCGCCGGTTCAGCCAGTCTGCTCGGAACTGACTTTAAGTCTTCATAACAGGTAAGAGAGGGGCCTGAATAATTAGAACAGGGTTTTCGGGCCCTTTATACTATACTTCTAATAAGGTACGCTCAAAACAGTATAGGTAATAATCAAGGCCCCTATATTAGAGAGGCGACAGGGAACAACAGGATACTGCACCGTCGTCGGCGTCAGGATCCTGCACACCATCCGACCAGAACTACTGTAGTTTCGTCCTGACTCGCAAGCAAAGCCCGTAAGACAGACCAACAGCCTTCAACCCCGAAGCATCAAATGCCTTACGCCCTTTAAACCTGCAGCCCTGAACCCGGAACCATGGATCTGTTGCCGTCCTCGTTCACGGCCCTACAAACCAGACGAATGCCTGAATCCAAGACCCTCAGCTTGCAAGTCGGATGACAGATGGGTTCACTTAAAACCTACGCTTTAGTTGGGAAGGTTCATGGTTTCGACGTTACTGTAGGGTTTAGGCTCGAGCCTTTTTCGGGCTTCGGGCTTGCATATCTTCAGGCTTGGGGTGCGGGAGGCTAGCCCAATGAAGTTCCAGGTAGTGACGGCCTCAAGTGGAAGTATCGTATTGTAAAGGGAAAAGTCTTTATAGTAGGTGTACTACATTGCGAAAGTTCCTAATCTAGTTCCGAGTATGTGACGGCATCTTCTTCATAAGGATGAGGAATTTTATGGGCCCCGAGTCTTGACAACAAAACCGGCATGCGGTCTGGCCTCTGCGAAGAGCGCCGCCTGAGGGCGGCGCATTTCCTCCTCGCCTTTCACGCTGCTTGGAGCTGGCCCAGAGAGATCCATGCACCCTGTTCGTAGATAGGTATCGGTGTGTAGCAACTGTAGAGTCCAAGTCTACATCACGTTCATACGACCACGCAGCCCTCAATTCAAAAGGCTCCTACCCAGGTGCCCAACTCTACAACTGCAACACCATAACGGAATCCGGAGTGCAGCTAGACCGTCGAACTCAATAAATTCGAAACCCTCAAGCAATCGCCCAGCCCCGACATTGAGCCCGAATCCCTCCAACTCCATCCTAACACTGCAGGGGTCCAGAGTCCAGATGTGTCGGTCATTGCTAGCCGGCCTAGACTAGTGCCACCTTGCAATCAAAGTCGGCTAGCAGCACTATCTAACGGAAGCACTGCACATGAACGTCAGAAACCGAAGCAACCACTGGAAACCATAATTGGCAAACTATTGCAAGCGACAGAAGACTACGGCATATCACAAGATGCATTTCCTGAGAAAACTAGGAAAACAGAGGCCGGCACCCACGGACGCAAAGCGGAAGGGCGCGGCCAGGCGCCGGATGAGGGCCCGGGCGTCCTCCAGGCCTCGTGGCGGCGTTTAGGGATGACAAGTGGCGGGGTGATTGAAGAAGTTTGAAAGAGCCTCAACAAAAAAAACGATGTATAATTAGACGTATTCAAACCCCACAAGACAAGTTGGATGCTTTGCAATTAAACATCACCATGTTCTGTCAAGTTGGGGTTCTCTCAGGTCCCAGGTCCAAGGTAGACCAGTGCAAGGTAGACCGGGATTCTCTCGAGGGCTTAGTGCTAGGAGTTTAAGGCTTCCAGGGTTTAGGATTCAAGTTGGATCTTCAGTGTTGTGTGGATTGAAGTTCGGAGTCTGCTTAACTTTGGAGCACTGCTTGACTGTAGGAGGTTTCTAGATGTTTATATATATATATATATATATATATATATAGGATGTTAGGGCTTAAGCTGGGGCGGTCGTTGGACGCTAGGGGTTGGTATTGCGTGGGTACAGTTGTGGGTTGAGATTCTTAAGCTTTAGTGCGAAGTGGTCAGGGGTTACGTGCAGAAAGGCTTGGGGTCTTGAGGCCCAGGAATCCAATGCCCAAGGAACCCAAAGCTCGCAAGTGACCGATGGATCTTCCACAGTTGGAGCTACCCGTGCTAAGAGACAGTTCTCAGTTACGGGTTAAGGATTTGGGACTGTTTCAAGTTATGTCAACAGCCATGCAGCCTGCACTCCCTGCTGAGAGAAACCAGTCAGCAACACCATGCATCCTTGCAGCACAGCACCAGCCCTGCTAGCACAAGCTCAAGAAGCCCGATTCATGTATAAACTCAAGATTATCGACTCCTTACAAAACCCATGGTAACACTCCGTTTAAACCTTAAAGCCAACCTGCAAGTAAATGAACCCAGCCCGCGACCCCCTATGTTTCGGGTTCCGAGGCACCCAGCCTCGGATCCCAAGCAACCTAGGAACAAAAGGGTCTCCTTTTTTGGCCCTGTATATAGATTTATAAGCAACCTAAGAACTGAGACTAACAGATGCAACAAAAATAAAGGGCCGCAAGAAAAAACCGAGACCAGGTCAACACCAAAAGCCGGACCGAGGCAGGGTCTGATTTTCAGCTCCTCCTGTGCCTCTTTCAGCCGCTTGAAGGCATCGCCTGCACGGGAATTCCCAAAATTTGCGCCTGGTAGGTTACCAATAGGCCCCATAGTAGTTCCTTTTTGGGGGTTCCTATATTTAGAATTCTATAAGGTAATCCCCAAAAGGAACTACTATGGGGCCTATGGGTAACCTACCAAACCCTACTTTTTGCGGGTTCATACTATGTCAAGGTAGACTTTCCTAAGCCCGATAAGCCTTTATTAGACCGCCAAAGAATGAAGGAAGAGCGTGAAGTTAGGAATATAGATCTTCGGCTTTCTTTGATCTGATTGAAGCCGAAGTGCAGCGTTGGGCTGGCCACGAAATTCCATCTGATAAAGTTTAATTGATGCCCTCAGCTCACTATGAAGGAAATAGGTCACCACTGCATGACTGTAAGAGGACTTATAACTGCGACCGACGAGAACAAGGAGTGGGGCAGCAAGCATGTAGGGCAACTGGATACTAAGTAGGGCGGGGTCCTGAACAAGGTCTCTACACGAGATTGTGGCCCACGAGAAGGTCTCGAACGTCTTCCGCAAGGCGGGCCTCATCATTCTTCAAAAAATTGAACCACTGTCATCGTTGTTCATATGGTTCGTTCGGGTTGCAATATACACTTGCAGGAGCTGGCGCATCAAGAGTTGCTCAAAACCCTACTCAAAAAACGGCGCAGAGCCCCTGAAACAAACCAGCTTGTCTAAGGACTGCTGAATTCTAGGCCGGCGTTGAGTCACGCAACCCTCTTCCAGTTGGTACGACAACAGCAAAGAGGACGACTGTGTGTCTGGAGTTCCCATCTTCCTCTTACCGTTGGGGCAGTCAACTGTTCGTGCCCCAGCAGATACGCAGCCTGCATCGGCATTGTCTGGATTCTTGTCTGGGTGAAGTGCGCGAGATAGCTGACCTCGGCAAAATCCCATGTCGCAGTCGGTAGCTTCTTTGGGGCTTCGTTGCGTTACTTGAAAAGACTTGCCTAGACCCCTTCCGTTAAAGTGCTGAGAAGTCATCAGCCAGGAAGCGAAAGGCATAGGCAACGTCAGCATCGCCATAGCCACCGAGATGGCTACCTGTGGATTCTGCTCAAAGGGTTCCATAATTAGGGATGGATCCTTAGGATTGGAGCTGAAGGTTGGCGCTTAGCTTCTATTCGGCTCCTCACGACAAGGACTCTTCCACCTCAGCCAAGCCCTCGGAGTCCTCCGAGTCAAACCTTCCACCGAACCCTGATCCGTGCTCGACCGCAGCTTCTCTTCTCCCCAACCTTCCCGACGGACGCAAGCCAAGCCTCTCTGCTCCTACAGCAATTTAAGGCTTTAGGGTTTAGGGTCCCTTTAAAGGGATCAAAAAGGGCTCCTATAAGGTATGCCTAAAAAGGGGGATCCGTCAACTTCTCTGGAGCCCTTGGATCCGAAACCATGCTGAGAAACCCAAACTCCACACAAAACAAAGAGCAAAAGCTCGAGATAACATAAGCATTAAAATGACTTTGTCTGGCCCTTTCGCCTCAAGGCAAAGGTTTACATTGCAAGCGAGGGTGGTACTCACCCCTACTGTCAAACCCTAAACAAACCCTTCACCTCTCCAAACCCTCAACTCCATATACACCCTAAACCCTACACCTTAAGCTCCATGAATCCAAGTAGCCACCCAGCCGAAGTACAGCCCCGGCGCGGAGGCTTCGGCCGTCTCGGGGGCAGATCCTGTCGGGGGAGTTCGGCTTGTTGGGTCTTTTCTGCGGTTGTTCTTTTTTTGGCTTAAGGCTTCGGGTTCAGGGCTTCGGGTTTACTGCTTGGGAATTGGCTTTTTGGGTTGTAGAGAATTTCTAGTGGCAAGCCTGTAGAATCGACCCCTGATGCTTCAAGCTCTTCATTGCCACCTTGAAATGATATCTGTGATGATGATGTTGGCGGTGATGATGACGGTGATTGTGTCTACTATGCATCTACGACTACATAGTGCCATTATCGTGACTGGCACACTTCTTCGAACCCCAGATGCACTGGCACTTCTGAACCCCAGCGCCCTCTTGAACCGAACCCAAAACCCTAATCCCCCAAATCTCACGAACAATTTCCCTTAACCAAGACGTGCATAAACCGCCCAAAAGGCAGATTCCAAGTCCCTCGCCTCAAACCTGAAACCTCAAATCTCTAAATCCACAAGACGTAAGCCGAAACGCCTCAACAGTCCGATGCCTAAGTGTCCAAGTGTCAAAGTAATTAGTAGTGTAAGGCTTAAGGAACCCGTAACCTAGGCCTAAGAATTCTACTCTTGGGTAAATGGACCTCCCAAGTAAAACCCCAAAATCAGCAGTCCTGGCGATCTCCTCTGCGGGATCGCCAACCTCAAGAACAGTGCTGGGGGCTTAAAGGCCTGGGGTTTGAGGCTTGGGGGTTGTTGAAGCATTAGGAGTTTGAGGCTGAAGGATTCTGACACTTCACGGTTGTGGGGATTCTCACCTTCGTGCTTGAGGTGACGGGAAGTCTAGGTGCTTATCTTGAGACTGGTGGGTTGTAGTCGTAGGGCTGTTTTGTACTTTAGGGTTTCGGACTATAGGAGTTTAGGACACAAGTATAGATATCGACCATCCCAGCACTCAGCTTCCAAAGTTTAAGTTTAAGGTCCTCAGTAGGGAATGGGGGAATGGATTATGGAGACTGTTTTTGGGGATTGTGTAGGGGCTAGTATACGCATCGATTCCCCAATTCCCTACTAAGAACCAGACAGGATCTTCCGGGGCCAGGGACCACCACCTACTACTTTGCAGGAGACTGCCCTTCGGGTGTAGGCTTACGGGGTTGGGTTCAAGGCTGAGCCTTTCCAGGGATTTGGGGGTTTGGGGCGTTGGGTTTAAGGGCTTTAGGGGTCGAGCAGCTTAGGGTATAGAATCCATGGATATCTAAGAGCACCCAAACATTTTTTGACTGCGTCAAGAACGTGTGAGTCATGCCAGGGCTCTTCTTTCAAGGGTACTATGAGGAATCCGTTCTAGAAGGGCACTACACCATGCGAGCACGTACCCTAAACCCCTAAACCCACTGAGGCGTAAGTGTAAACTGCTTCATCGCCCTCAATCACGCTCTGAAGCAGAAGACACCCAAACGCTTTACCGAATCTATCCTTGTCCAAAACGTCTCGAGTACCTACGCAATACCAGGTGTATGAAGCAGGTTCCATATCAAGAGCTATGACTACGAAGGTATACCCCGCATAGGTACTGAAGACCAAGCCCCAGGCCCTGACCTAAGCCTTAATGACCTGCCACAGATCATGAGGCCGGTAGAAACCCGAAACTCCGAAACAGTCTGAGCGGCACCTACCCTGAACCGTAGACTTGAAAAACCGGTACTCGGGAGATGCAGAAATCGGTGCGAGGCCCCTGCGAGGATCTTGAACTCTGCATGTGCCACCTTTTATGCAGCTGAAGGTTGAGGACTGCGATTTTCACGGGGGTTGACAAGGGGCCTCGTAGGGTCGTAAAGGCGCTTTAGGTTGAGGTGGGCTGTATGATATGAAATGTTCTGTGGACTGCAGGGTTAGGGGTTAAGGCCTCACGGGCCCAGAGCCTAAGACCTGAACCCTGCATGCTGAAACCACAGGAACGTTGATCTCAACCAGGTGCCCACTGCAGGAGCCCAGATAATCGGAACTGGGCTTGATATAGGGAATATGATGCTACGAGTACGGCACTTCTAGGTTGCAGCCTTCTATCCTTAACCCTGAAAGCCCTAAACAATACCAGACGGGTTGTGGCAGCTGACTGAGGCCTTCGTGGTCTTGAAGCCTGGGGCTTAGGGTTTCGGGGGTGGTCTGGATTAGTGCGGCGATGGCCTATAGGGCTGAGGCCCCTCGTCCTTCAAGTTCGGTTTGGACTTTGGGCGGAAGCAACTTTGGGTTCCTCAATGATAGGCCAGGGCTGATAAGCGTCTTTGGATTGGGCGCGAAGTGTGGGATGCTGGGATTGCGTGCTGCGGATAGTGCCAACTGAAAAGGATGGTCAGAATAAACGTTCCAGTCGCTTAAAATGCACGTCTTGCGATGCGTGGCTCCCTAGCCAGTACGCTGCGGCACGTCGTTCCGTGTGTCGATCAGTGCTTAAGAGGCTTTGCTCGGAGTTGCTTGAGTGCTGCGACTTTGATCCTGCTGAAATGAACACACTTTGTTCGAGTCTCGGGTCGTGGTTGTTTGCCGTTCGAATCCCCAACCAAAGCAGCGAGGGTTGGGACAAGTGTGGGGAACTCCGAAGCTTTCACCTCCGTCGACACTAAGAGCACGATGTCCGAAGTCAAGATTTCTGCAGAAGCCCCCAAGCCCTTTAAACTCTGAAGTCCCGAGGCCGTCACACCCTAAGCCCTAAAACCTGAAACCTTACCTTACAGACCCTGCTATGCCCCAAACTCATTGCAGCAAGGCCGCGTCCACGGCATCGCGGAGGGCTAAGCGCACGGTGGGGTCTGCGAACCAGGGCTCATCCCCTCGGCAGCTTAGAACTCCAACCCTTTTGGAGCCTGTAGGAGTTGAGAGTTGAGAAGTTCAGTGGCTTCAGTTTGAGGGTCTTTCGGATAAATAGAACTGTTAGATAAGCTGACCAAGATTGGGGTCGGTGGCTGTTCTCTTTGTTCTTGACGGTGCATCGAGACCTGAGTAGGCCTGACAAGACGAGCTTCCATGTGTCCGCCAATCCGACTTCACGGTTGATCTATCCGGGTGGTGTAAGTGGGGCTTCAGGGTTCAATTCTGAATCCCTGTTTCCTCGAAGTGTCCTTTTCTTAATGTGGGCTAGAATGTATTTCTTCGCCCTTGCGGCCCCTCAGGGGTCTGAAACCCGAACCTGAACCATAGCCATAAGCAGATATTGAAATTAAGTTTACTTCCCTAGCAAGCAAACAGGGACGCATACTTTCTTGGAGATCCCTCGCAAACAAACCATAACCCAAACCAGCCCAGCTTTACAGTATCCAAGGGTCGTACAGCAGAATAGCGAGGGATGCTGTGCAATGGTCGCGGGGCTCGAAAGGTAAAGAGCCTTACAGACCCTGGCCTGTATATGCTATATGTACCCCAACCCTGCGCGCCTAGAGTCTCCACACCATCTTGGGGCGGAGGCAGCTCCTCGTGGCAGCCAGAGCGAGTACATGCGTTATGTAACGTTATGTAGCCGATACTCTACTTGTACCTGCCAGAGCCGTGTATCTGCACCTCTCTTTCACCCTCTTGCTCTCTGTCGTACGTCTCCCTCTTTGTCTCTTGGTTTCAAACTGCTGGCTTCTTTTTCCGTCTCGCTCTCGTCTCGCTCTCAGAATCAGCGGCAGTAGCAGCAGCAAGAGCAGCAGCAGTTGCATCATGTGCGTCAGCATCCGCAGCAGCATCCACAACAGTATTGAGCTGACGCCGACAACGACGAAACGGTGCCCAGTCACGCCTGCCTGCCCAACATTTATAAGCCCTGCTGTACTCTGCGGCCTTATACCGAACATCTGATCTGCGAGACTCTTCGGACAACTAGCCTCACAGACGGAGGCAGCTCCAAAGGACGATGAACAGAAAAATGTGCACTCGATCCCCTGAAACCCGTAGCAATGCAAATTCCCTAACTTGTAGCCCTCTATACACCCAACGGAACCCCTCAAACTCCTAAGCTCACAGTCTAATCGAACGAGAAACTGTTGGAGGGCGGCGCAGGCCACAGCGGAGCTTCTGCCTTTGCAGCGCGTGGGAAGAAGCCGAGATCTTTCAATATGCAGAAATTACGGTACTGTATATACTCAAGAAGTTTGGGAGTCTGACATGGTTTGATAGGTAGATATTATGTGTTCTTTAGTTGCGGAATATTGGCAGATCTGGGGAATCTGGGGGCTTGGGCTTGGGGGTCATTTCACAACATGGCTCAAACTAAAGTGATTCGTACAAGCGCTAATACAGTAAAAGGGGACCCTGCAAACGAAAGCAGGCCTTGGTTGTTCAAGGTACATACTCCGTGGGGTCCGGCTCTCTCACACGCACATTGCGACAGGTGGATGAGTGGCAAATGCCTGCGATATGCGTGTTTGATACAAGTAGAACAGCAAATGCCGACTGCGAGGAGGTGCCAGCAGGTAAGCATTGACAGGTGTTTAGGGCATGTCGGATCTCTTAAAAGGCACTATGTCAATGGGTTTGTGGCATGGGCCTACTGGCGTTCCTATAGGGCAACTTCAAGGCCCAGACTGGCGTAGAGAAGCGCATGGATCCTTACTGAACCTTGCACTGGAGATATGGCATTTTGGTAGTGAAGTTCCCCTTCAAGGCATTATTATACCTTCAATGGAACCCTAACAGGGTTGCATGGTCTCTTAACGTTCATGTCCAAGAAAGTCAAGCCGCAGCTCTTCGTCTCCTGTCACATTTGAGGGCGCAGGGTTCCAGATTTTTCCCTTTGGGGCGGTAAGGAAGTCTAGGGTTGGCGGATCTTGGGTTCGAGTCGGAATTGAAGACTAAGCCTGGGCTTTCGGACAAGGTTTGGGCGCTTCCAGACTTGGAGGCTTGTGATCTTTCCAGCCATTCCAAAATTAAAGCCAAAAGCCCAACTCCGAAAGCCGGATGAAACTGTTCAGAACTTCACCATGATCACTTTGAGGCTGAAGCTCAAGAGCTCATGGAATTTCGCAAGCCTGACTGCGCAACCTGAGAGTCAACGTCGAACACACACCAAACAAGCACCCATTCGATGCGTGGATCGCATGGAGTGGAGTCCTGGGTTTAGGCCTTGTTGATTTGGGCTTAAGGCGTAGAGCTAAACTCACCTCCTAGAAGCGCTCTCCTATAAGCGCTCCCATGGCCGAAACTTGACGATTCTCATGTGCGTGTTGAGGCATACCTACGACTGTGAAACTCGGCACCGACAGATCTCAATCTGATCACGCCAAATATTCCAACTTTGCACCGTTCAAACCCCGAAGCACCGCAAAACTTGAAGCCCTCCACATCCTCAACCCTTAAAGTGCTAACAGTGACGACCTAAAACTCGAAAATCTCAGCCCTAAGCTGCAGAACCTTGAGACCCCAAATCTTCAATGCTGTAAGGCTTTCAGCAGTCTATACCCAGAAAACTTGCAACCTTTGGGCATCCCCACCGAAGGCATCGAGGTCGGGAGGCATCGAGGTCGGAGGCATCGGTGGCGGAGTGTGGACCTCTGAAAAAGAACACATGCAGAGCCAGCGGCATGTGGGGAATGCATGTGCCAAGAGAGCGAGAATGATCTGCATGTGTGCTGTGTAGGTATGCTGCAGGTGTGCACACAAATGTGCAACGCATCCGTGTTGTGTGAGCGCTTCCAGCATATACATACATACATGCATACATGCAAACTGCTAAACCCTACAAATCGCAACCCCTCTGAAACCGTGCCTGCTGAACCTCCACAGGCTTCGGCAGGTCCTTCTGTGCTTGGCTCAACAGCCTCGTGAGCAGAGCCCTCGCCCCTACCGGGCCGGGTTTAGTTTTTTGGATTGCACGACTGTGATCTATTCTACGACACGCAACACCTAAGCGTGAAACCTGCTTGAGGGCACCATGGCGTCCTAAAATGAATCGTAGATGCGTCTAGACAATGCCCAAACAACGAACACAGGATAAACAAGCCCCAGAACCCTAGCTGCAAAGGGACAGAGACAGATTGATGGAGAGAGAAAAGGAGAAAGATAAGGATGAACCGAGAAAGCGAGCTCTTTGCCAACAGTACAAGATACAGACTTTTGTCGGTGGGGTTAGCGGTTAGCGGGATGAGAAGCGGCAACAGTACATAACGTTACATGGGGTTGAAACTGTACATCACCTCGGCAATACCGCGACGAAGCGCCGGTGGCACGAGCGAAGAAAGATTGCATGGCGCTTCCTAGATCAGACTCGCCACCCGACTAGGGCTGTGGTCGTCATACAGATTATATGAATGAAACAAGTATCAATCGCGGAGCTCCCTGATCCAAGTCCGGGGTTCGGGGTGTAAGTTGCTCGCAGTGAAAGTCCGGCAGAAGCACTGTGCTATTAATGCAACATCCAAATTAGTCTTCACCCTCGGTCAGAAACATCGGACTGTTCAGGCACCAACCTGCAAACAAAAAGCATGCAAAGAACCCACAGCACTCTCCGCCTCATGCTCGAAAGTAAGCCCAAGCCCCCAAATCCGTAGACTCCCCCAACGAGCTGCCTTTTCAGAATGCCAGCTTTGACGGCCGGCAGCTTCGTGCCCCTGGTCGCCTCGACAGCAATGATGCCCAAATGTTCTTCGAAAGTTCTGCCCCAACACCTCGCGCAGAATACTTATCAGCCACACCCCCGAAGAACAAACCTTTCCCTTAAGACTTCAGAAGGACTGGTGCAAGGCCCTCACAGAAGATGGGCTCGTTTATCAAGGGTCCACACTCTTGGTCGGGGTTCAAGGCATGCCAGCGAGGTGCAGGGTCAAATGGCTTGGGTCCTATGCACTTTCCACTTACTTGGCTGCTTGCTTGCAGAGCTTTAAAGACTTAAAAACTAAGGCACTCCAAACCCTAAACGCTGCGGGGTGCAGGGTTGCCCAACTCAAGGCCAGACCAGCTTCTGTAAACCGCTTAAGGTTGAGCAGGTCACCTCAAAGCTTTGAGTGCATTTTCGAGCCCGCAAGGAGTTTCGCCGAAAATCGTCCTGCGCGGCCTTGATCCGAAAGCCTTCTTCCTATCAAAGAAAATGTCCAAACCTACCGCTTCACCAGCCCAAACTCATCATAACCTGCCGAAACCCTGACCTGTGAACGCAGGACTGCAAGCTCCCACTTAAAGCCGGGGAATCTAAACCAAACGGAAGGTTCCTCGGGAAGTGCCGCCAGTGATTTCAAGGCCATCTCCTGCCGGACACGCTGGGGTATGGGTCTGCGTGTATGGGCTCAGGGTTTCGGGAACAGGGTTTGGCAGTTCAGGGTTGGGCTTCAAGGGTTCAGCGATCTACGGACTTACGCAGGGCCGCAGGGTTCAAGGGTTCAAGTTTAGGATTTCGGCTTTAGTTCAAGATCTCGTTCTGCAGAGCAAAGAACCTATAGCCCGCCCCGGCCGATCTCTTCGCAGGCTGCATGCAAGCTCTCATTTCAATCTCCTCACCAGGAAGGATTTCATGTCGGGTAAGGGTTAGATGCTGCCATCATCAGCACAATCACTATAAAGTAGCAATAGATCCGAAACGGGAACCTGGTGGGAAGACTCAGAAGCCAGAGCCCCGAAAATCTGAACTTCAACCCTTTTACGCCTAAACCCCTAAGGCCCGGAAACCTACTAATTACACTCCTGACAACCCGAAGCCCTTAACCCTTTCAAACCCAACCTCCTTAAGCCCGGGCCGAAAAACCTCTTGAACCACTGAAGAACTCCGGGTGCGGCCTCAGCTCGCTTTTCGAGCTGGGCCCTGGTCAACTTGGGCAATTTTGTCGGAGTAAAACTTGAATTTGGTTTGTTTGGCTTATGGACTCTGCAGACCATAAAGCTCACGGGCTTGGGGTTTGTGGTTTATTTGTATTTTTTTACTGTTCGGCGTTGAGGCGATGGGGGCTTTAAGCTCTGTTCAGATTCCTACGGAGGTACGCCGATTGCCTTCCCGTAAGGTTGACGCTTTCTGGGCGACTATGCTTCCTAAGTTGGGACCCGTGCATCTCCGAACTACCTTCTGCTTACGTGAACCAACACAGTAGAGTGGTAGAAACTGACAGAAATAGAACGTGCGGCCCAATGATCCTCATCTGACATGCAGAACAAAATCCAGCGCTGAAGCAGAAACCGGAGCGTTGTGCCACAAGACCCTGAACTCTAAACCCTAAACTGTGATCCTGGAGCCTGAAATAGCTGAAGAAGCAGACTCAGGCTCGCGGGCTATGGGGGGGGGTTCCTGTAAAGTACCCTTACAGGCCCCAAATTAGGGGATCTACTTTCTAGGTCAGTAGCATTATTACCTCCTGGGGTGCCTAATTAACGCCTAGCCAACCTGAAGACCCTTCACGAGCAAGGCGGCCGCCTGTCTTCATCACTGAGGATCACTTCCACCTTCCCCAGGACTGCACATGGGTGCTGCTTGAAATTGGGCATCCCCATCAAGAGTTGGGGTCTTTACCTAAAGGGTCTTATCGTGGCTGCGCGAAGCGATCGTGCACCTCGTATAAGAGATTATGCCTTGCTTGCCGCAGCCCTTGAAGTCTGCACGGGTGTTGACATTAATCTAGCAGCGTTCTGTTCTAGAGTCAATCGAATAGACAGAATATTCAAGACCTGGCAAGGCTTATACTGCTCCGACCACGTCAGTTGCCCGGGCAGAGCGCGTAGATTTGCTGAGGTTCATGATGAAAGGATTGGAGCATCATCTCCAGGCATGTCGCATCTTCGCACAAACCTCGTGCAAAGCCAAACCGCCTCGGCTGGCGCGTTCTGGAAGATTGAAATGGGCCCTACGGCCAACAAGGATCCGCATTCCGTCCTTCGGGTAAGATATCTGCAAGCATAGACTTATGAGTACACAGCAAGCCCAAAACCCCGAATCGCTATGGCCAAAACCTGGAAGCCTAAGATACACTTGAAACGCTAACTGTAAAACCCCAAAAGAAAGTCCAATAGCCCTAAGCCTACGCACCCTTCATCCTCATCCAAGGCCAAAACAAAAAACTCCCAGAAGGCCAGAAGCCAGAGCCTAGCTGGTTTTGGGGCTTGGGCTTAAGGATTAGGGCATTGTACAAGTCTCTCTCTTCAAAGCGCTCTCGATTCAAGCTCTACATAAGGATTCATTGCGTGGGAAGGGCGCGGGATTTCAGGCGAGCCCAGACTGACCAATTATACCTCGTTGGGTACAAAAGCACTTGCGCCGGTTGACCCCTTGAAACAAGAAGACCCCAGAAGAATACTGCTGAGGGTGGGGCGGTTTGACACAATGCTTGGGGCCGAGAAACCGTTGCAGCCCAATTCTCGTCAGTACAGAAAGGCTCACGCAGCCAAGTTATAGAAATGAATATATCGAATCCGTAATGTACCCACTGCCTGGCAATTGAATCTGAATCAAGGGCGCGCTCTCAAACATCGATGGAAACACCGTTTTGAGTCCCGAACACCACACAAGTACGGTTGTCTTGCCTGGCTCTCCAGCCGCGGCTTTGGCGGCGGTGGCGGAGGCGCCGAAGGGGGCGGCGCCGGTGGCAGCGTCGGCTGCCGCTGCTTCTGGGCGACCTGTACCTGGTCTTCTCTTCTTAGCTTGCTTTGAGTTCGAGAAGCCAAGTTGTTCAAGATTTCTGTCGGAGAGTGCAGAGAATTTGTAAAGATGCAGAATAAGGTCCTTCGGCATGTCCAGACTGTGCAGAAAACGTGGCAATCAGTGCTTCATTTGAAGCATAGTAAGGTACGTAGTTTTCTTGGCGAGAGGAGTCGTCTCAAGCTCCAACTCCTAAGTGCAAAGATGAATCGGGGCCGCTCACAGTAGAGCTCGTCTGAGCATGCTTGCCGTTCACGTTGCAAGGTGTGGCTCGACCAACTAAACCCTAAATCCGGTACTAAACCTTAACCCGTTCGTATGCCTGCCGGTCATTTTCAGTCAGCTTGTTCTCTAGGAAATAGACGTGATGATACCGTATATCTTTGCAGACGTCCTTGCGGATGCGGAAGTAGCCGCTGTCAGCCCACTGGGGGCCCCATGAGTTTTTGAGGAACCAAACGTTCGGCTTCTGCCCGACGATAACCACAGCATGTCCACTGGTAACATGAATATGCTTGCCCTGGGAAGGCAAGTGATCCAGAACCTTCTCTGGGTTCTTCTTGAAAAAATTGGAGAACGACTCCCATCCCACCTCTGTAAGCCAGAATGCGGCCAGAATTGCATGTCCTCGTTGTACCGCTGCTTCGGCCTCACTCTGGCATACGGCATTGTGAGAAAGGCACAGCTTCGGACATTCGTCATTCAACACCTTATTTGGGTCTGCACCGTTCTTGCCATACTTGCCGATTATGCGCTCGACCATGCTGTCGTGATCTTCAGGGCAGCGTCCAATGATGCGGCTTTCTGCGGCCCGAATGACTGTCGCGGAGGCATGAGCATAGCAGGTGCCTCCAGTTTGCTGGCGTGCACAAAAAGACGCATCGACAACTTCCCAGGAGAATGTGGTCTCTGACCGGCACTGTGGAAATGGAGGAGGGGAAGATGGGATATCAGGCTTGGGCAGGCCTTTGAACATCTCGTTGCACTTGTGGAAATAGAAGAAAGCATGCATTCCAGCAAAGCCCAGATCGGTGGGGCCCGAGCCTCCTTGAAGAGTGTGTACCGCTGGGTCCGTGAACAGCCAAGTGCCATCTTTCTGCTGTACACCTTGCAGATCACAAACAAGCTTCTTGCCCTTAGTCTCGGCCCACGTCCAATGCGAAAAAGCTTGGGCTACTTTCGCACGCTTGCTTCCTTTCCAGTGCCCAGAGTTGCTGTTCTTTTTCTTATCTGCCATCGAGATAGGGCTCAACACAAACTATTTCTTGCTCCTGCACTCGTGCTTGTGTCTCATCCATGCTGAAAGCACGTCCCACTAGAGATACTGCTGCCGAGAGCAGGGTACATGGCACCACTGCCTCTGGGAAAGCTGCCGCCAATATGACGCGGGTAGAAAGCCCTGTCAACAAGCCTTTCCCAACGCTTCTTCCGCCGACATGGAAGGTTGCGCCAGGAGCACTCACCTTGAACAGCACAGCCCGTGCAAAACTGATTTTGTGTGCGCTGTCCCTCTGAGAAACGAAAACCTTGTTGAACTTGTCACTCAACTCACGGCTGAGCGTCAAAGCTGACAGGTCTTGATTCCACGTTTGAGCCTGAGTCACGTGCTGCTTTTTGAACATTTTCACCACACAGGGATAGACTTTTTTCTCGTCTACAACAATGGATGTCCAGTCTCCCCCGCCGACAGCAAAAGTCCTGTCGACCTGCACAGATTCCTTCGAGAAGATCTGCCCCCGATATGTCTCACGGCAACTGCCGTGAGCGAAAGGCGTTGGCTCGAACTTGAGGTAGTCAAAATCTGCCGGAGGTTGGAAGTCCGTACTCCCAACACAATGAACGATTGGACAAGCACGTGAGTTCTCGGCTCCCATGGCACCGCGTGCGTTCCTACCAACTTCTTTGCAAGACCATGGTCGCAGACCGGATGCCACCTTCTAGATATCCAATGACATCAAGTAAAGGTGCTTCATATGACACACCGTGTGCAGACTGCTGTGCAGAAGTTGCAGCTGAACAAAGATGAGAACTTCTTGAAATATAGTGTGCTGCAAACGCAGGCTTGGCAATTCGGCAGCTTTGTGCCAGCCTGCATTCACGATACATCCAGCCTCCTGGTACACATCCTGCAGCTAATTATTACAGATGAACCCAGGCAACCTAGCGAGCCCTTGGTAAATTCGGGAACTGACACCGACCTCCATCCCTGGAATCCAAGACCTGAAACCCTCTCTTGGCATGTAAAAATAAATTAGTCGAACTAGAGTTTGGGGTAATCCTCGGGAGCCCACGTGAGACAAGCGGAAATTGCAATCCACAAGAAATTCCCGGCCCAAGCTGAAGTGCAAGAGTAATGCCAGCTAGAGAAAGGCACCGAGATCGACAATCCCAGAATGCGGTGCTGAACGCAACCCTGGAGAGAAACACTGCCGGAGGACTTGATACAACTGCATGGCCATGAAACCAGGAGTCTGTATTGAATCGGTGACAAGCTGCAATACGAGCAACCATAGCGACCGCACTGTAGTGAAATGCGAGTCATTCATCATCAGTAGTGGCTACTGTGACACACGGTACCGTGGCTTCTTATGACGTTCATCCGAGACCTATGCCCTACACCTTTCCAGGACAAGAGGGAGGTTGGTACCGGAATCTCCCAAAACCTAACTAAACTCGAAAGCCGAATAGACACGTAAAATCGTGTTGAGAGTCGGGCGTTTGCGAGGGCGGCCGCAACAGCTTCGGCCATGGCTGTGGTCTCGGACTTGGGGAGTCGAATGTAGGCGCCTTAATAAGTAGAATAAGGACCCCTTTAAAGGGTCTATACAAGGGTTACTATAATGGATCTATAAGGGTATTACATTATAGGGGCCTTAACTTAACAATTAGAATAGGGTTCTGGGGCCCCTCCATACGAAAATAAAAAAGTCCCCGATGATATTGCTTCCTCATTAGACCTCAGGGTTGAAATAGCTTGGGGAGGTAGCATTGAAGAACGAAGCCATGGGACTATGTTTACAGGCAGAACAGCCAGAATGCAGACGCATATTTTCTTGAGCCAATGAATGACGGTAGGTGCAGTTGACTAGCTACATCTTCCACAAAATACACCCCCCGCGCATCTTAGTGCAACGGTTGAGGCGAAGGCGATGGAAGGAAAGACTAGTCACTAGACCGTCGTAAGCATATCACTTTGTGACAGCGAAAACAACTTGCAACAAAAGCAAATTATGCGGCCAATGTTTTGCGCCCTTTGCTGTTCGTACGAGCAGGATAGCTACCAACCCGTTAGGGCGGTGCCGACGCTTAAATCTCACTTCACTACTAACCAGACGGCATCTAAATGTCTCAGAATACCATCCCGTTAGGGAGGTGATCAAGCTCGGCGTAATGGGCCGTCGATCAAATGACCTCAGTAGATGCGGTCACGGCGGTTGGTCCTGTAGTTGTAGACCTCATGGACCCAACCTGACAAGAACCATTGGGCATGAGAGGTGTCCAGAATCGTGAAGCCATGTGGATTACCATGAGTAGGAATGGCATTCACCACTGAAGTAGGCTGGATGTAATCTTCGGTCATCGCAGCGAACACCGCCCATTGGTACATGTCAACGCGGTGCCAGTCCATTCGCCTGGCAAGCGCAGGATCGATGATGTTGCCGGAAAGATCGTTCCCCAACACGAAGTGCGGGTACAACAATCCTGCGACCCTGAGCTGCTCAAAGAAGTTGACAACAGTCTCACGCATCCGGACCTCTCGGTCGGAGACATTTCTCGTCTCGAAGAACACGCCGAAGGTCGGTGGGTCATGGGGTCGCCGGCGATAGGTCTCGGACCATTCGCGCCTTGTGCCGAGATCAACAGCAGAGGACGGTGCCTCGCTCACTGTCCCATCCATAGTGGCATCGGGAGCAACCGTTTCCGGTGCTGGATTGCTGAAGCCTGTACCAGCCCGCATTGCATCCCAATCCGCGTCACTGATGTAGTCGGACGGATCACGTGCCACACGCCTGGGCGGCGGCATCGCAGGCTCCCGAGGGGTGCGATCGGTGGATGAGCCCGCTGCGTCTCCAGGGTTGGTCCGGATATGGACCTCGGTCGGACGATGTCTGGCAATCGGGGACCTTGTTCGATTGCGGTCTGCTGGACCCGATGCACGCTCGTCAGAGCTGCGACCTCGTCGTGCAGGAGATGCCGGAGGCTCAGGTGGGCGACGCTCGGACGCGGGTGCCGAAGTGGTCAACCTCACGTGGCCGCTCTCCCCGATGCGCTTGTCCATATAATATTGCTGGTACCGACGATAGTAAGGGGTATTGGCCAGCAGCTCGTTGAGCTGACGTTTGCCAAGTCCCTGTGCCTCAGCGGGTACCTGCAGATTTCTCTGGGTGCGCAGAGAAGGATTTGTCTTCTCGATCCTTGTCCGGCTCAGTGGCAATTGTGCCTGGAAGAAAGTAGCCAGCTCGGCCATGATCGGCAAGATTTCATTCTGCACGACGATGTATTTCTCCCCATCGTACTGCAGGATGGAAAACTCATGCTGGTTCGATTTCACAGCCTTGATGAGAACTGCAATCTCATTGATGGTGTAAAACCGATCATGAAAACAAATCAGACACTCCGTGAGGAGGTCGATTTCAAGCTGGCCTGTCACCCAGAGGAGGGCAACCTTCCCGGTGGCATCATAGTAGGTGGACGAACCATGCCCTTTTCCCTTGCCCTGAGGATCGGGAAGCCTCACGTTAGCGAAGCGTTGCAGCGCCTCGACAGTGTGAAAGCTGAGACCCATTTTGGCGTAGTTGTGAGCGGTGATTGGGTCCACACTGTATTGCCCCTGCGGAGTGGTATTGTGGAGCTTCTCCGCTCTCTTCTGCTGATTGAGGACCTTCTGGCGGATGCCAGACGCTGTGCTTTGAATGCGTTCCCTTTCTTCTGGCCCTTGAGTCTTCACGCGCTGGCGTGTGAGTCCCGAGGATGGCTGCAAGTCAATGATGTTGACCTGCCTGCCCTCTCGGGCGGCGCTTCGCCGGAGTCTGTCGGGCTCGGCGATAATCGCAATGTCGGTCATCTCGATGAGACGACGTTGGCAGCCTGGACAGGAGATCATTCCGTCGATGTACTTGTGATTGCACGAGCTGCAATGGTACCCGGGGTAGAGGATCAACTCCTGTTTAATCCAGTGCCTTGGTTCGATCCTCTGGCGAAGTCGGATCCGCTTGCCTTCCATGGATGGCCAGACGTGGATACCGATCCCGAGCGAGCCGTCATATGTTTCGATGAGCTGGTCCTCGTTCTTCCTTCGCTCGATGACTTCTTCGCCGACCTCGCTCAAGATGTCCGCCGAAATGCGAAATGGGGTCTTGCAATCGATTGCGACCGGCGCCCACTCAGCGATGGTGAGATTCTCGGCGCTCTCCAGCAAGTCGAGAAAGCAGTTGTGCTGCTCCAAGGCAAATTGATCCGGACCAAAGATGTATTTATGACTTCCATCCTTGTTCCAGCTCGCTAGAGCGGAGTCAATGTTCCGACGGAACGCCTGGTAGGCCGGATTGACCCACACAGGCTCTGCTGTGCCCCGCTGATAAGCGTAAACCAGATATCGATTGCTGATCCAATCTGGTGTCTCCAGTGCCCCGGAGCGAGTCTCGAAGAGCCGGACGCCGTCCAAGACGGCCATTTGGAGATCGATGGCGAACTCGACGTCCGCCGCCTCGCGAAGGCCCGCATTATCATCCCTTTTCCATTCTGGTTGCTTTGACATCATGACAAAAGCTCTGCTACCACTCTCGTGGAGCGCGGCACCACCAGGCAACAATCCGTATCTGATGATATCTGGGAAGTGCCTCATGAAGGTGCCGTGGTAGCCCAGTTTGCAAGGGAAATCGACAAACTCCTGGGAGAACATGTCGAACGGATGAATTTTAGGCCGAGTCGCTAGACTGGCGTCCCATGGCACAAAGGAATGCACCACGGAGTGGATGTCAGCGAGTTCGGTATCGTCACCGAAGAGCCCTGACCAATGCCCATGGATAGCCCGAGCTCGAAGCACGTCAAATTCCTGATTGTTGTGCTTCTGAATGTAAATCTCGTAGCGGGCTTTCCCGTCGACTGGGGTCTTAAAGACTTCGAAGATCTGGGAGACCTTGAGTCCGTTCCAGATCTGGCTAAGGGCATCGATGAACTCTTCCCAGTCCACCGAGAGGTCATTCCGACGAATCGTCACTGTCGGCGTTCTATTGC